GAGAGAGAGAGAGAGAGAGAGAGAGAGAGAGAGAGAGAGAGTCGCGGTGTGGGATGGGATGGGAGCAGAGAAAAGAGACACGGATCGTCCTGCCTGCAGTCCTGTCTCTCTCAGCGGAGCAGCAGCATCGAGCCACTGCGGCAGCCCGGAGGAGCCCCGCCTTCAGAGAGGAGAGGACCCTGCAGCCGGGCTCAGTCCCACCTGAAGGCCTCCACAGCAGAAACAAGACAAGGATTAAAAGGAGCTTGGTGGAGGAAAAAAATAAATCTCTTGACAGCCTGGACGAATCTGCTTCCACAAGCGCATCTTGTCCCCCAAAACTTTCTTCCTGCGTCACCAGACTCGAGCTGTTTTATTTGTTTTTGTTTTTGTTTTTTGTTTGTTTGTTTGTTTGTTTTCTTACTCTGGTGATCAAATCTAATGATTTCCCCGTGGATCCCTGAGATTTGATGAGAAATGTGTCCGCTGGAGCCGCTCTGTCATTACCTCTGACCTCTGCTGGATTCTGGGGAACTTGTTTTGATTGACCCACAGAAACCTTTACTTCACCTCCATTCAACATGCATCCCATCCCATTAAGACTCAGCTATCTGTGAGTGCTTCTCCTTCACCTTTCCGTTCATGTTCCTTAATGATCTCTGGACTAACCCACTCTTCCTGTTTTTTCCTGCAGGTTTCTTCACCTGTTTGCGCTTTGCTACCACGCTCAGGTACGTCACTGATTAATTCATTTTTGTAAAGCTGAATTATTATTTTTTTTACTTTGCTGACTAAAACCAAATCCGTAGCTGTAAGAGCACCTTAAACACACAGCGGTCAGGGCAGCATCCTAATATGATACGGAACAGCATCGGATGGCTCCCACGGCGCGCGGGGCAGCGGGGCGCGCGGGCCTGCTGGGTTTAGAACACCGGGCCTGGCACGGGACGCGCGGGCACAGACGGTTCATCAGGGCGGGGGGGAGTGATGAAAAAATAATTATGACAATAAGAATGATCTCACAGGGTTCCGAGTTCAGGACTTTCTTTTTATAGAACCGCGCTCCAGGTTGTAGAGAGATTTTTTTATTCTAATTTATAATAAATAAAGTATATAATCTGCCAGTGTCCAAAAAAAAGTGCTAAAATGTATTCAGTTCAGAGAATTTGGCTCCTATTTGCTTTTTTTTCTTCCTCTGTGCGTAAAGGCGCACATTTTCCTCTCCGCACAACCTGTAATCACGCAGCCCGTGTTTTTGGAAGCGGTTACCTTCATTTAGACACTTCCTCCTAAAACCTCTTACACTCTTCTAAAAGAAAAAAAACAAGAAAAAAAACAAGAAAATCTAAATGCTGTTGTCTTTTTGGTTGCGCCTCTTTAGCGCGTAAATGGAACCGTTAAATGGCGCACAGAGGAATCCGCGTTGCGCGTTAAAAAGAAAGAAAAAAGGACAAAAATCATAAATTAAACTCGAATCGGTGAATAAATGATTGTGATGCCGTATCTAATTTCTGACAGGTAACCAATCAGTCCCCGCCTAATTTCACGCAGCATGTGAGCGAGCAGAGCAAAGTGACAGACCGCGTGAGCCGCAGGTTGATCCGGATCTACCAGCTGTACAGCCGGACCAGCGGCAAGCACGTGCAGGTCCTGCCCAACAAGAAGATCAACGCCATGGCTGAGGATGGAGACGCGCACGGTAAGAGCACGAGAATCTCACACCAACACTGTTTGGATCAACTGAAGTAAAGTGAATGACGTCATATTTGAAGGCTTTAGTTTAATATTACTGTTCTTTATTCTTTGTATCAGTGCTAACATGATGTTGTTATTATTATTGTTGTTTTAATTTGGACATTATTCCACTCACTCTCCCCTTTAATTAACATTTTTCGAACACAAAACACAAGTTAAGAAAATATATTGTGTTTTTTTGGCCTTGAACATGCATAATCAAACTTTTTTTTTTTTCAGGCAGGGTTTGTTTAGTCATTTTCTGGCCCTTTGGATATTTTTTGTTGTTGTTTTGTGTAATTAAAACCAACATTTCTTTCAAAATTGGCTCAAACTTGAAAATTAAAACAAACCGAATTATAAACTCTAATAAATCTGGCATTTAAAAGAATAAAAACACAAAACTTGTATTAAATAATTAGAAGTGGTGAAATAAAAGGCCATCAGGTCACTTAGATGTTATTAGCTGAGCAGCTGCAGTTTTCTTTTACATCACAAGATGCAATAATTTTAAGGATTTTAGTTTTTGGGTGAAGGGGGGTGAGCCTTTGCACCATTTGTGCTTTCAGTTTGTGGGGTCGGAGGAGGCTCAGACCTCAGAGAGAGAGAGCCCCCAGTGGGTTGTCCAAAGCACTAAAGGTGAGCCTTCAGAGATCCTGCAGGTCTGGAAGAGTCATTAGAAGTCGTCCTGCTTCTGCCTCCACAACATTTCCTGCATAGCTCCTGTGCCCCTCTCACCCCCACCTTCAACCCCACTGCTCGCTGCTCTGCTCTTCGTGTTTCTCTCTGAAGGCCGCGCGCTCGGCTTCCACAGAGACCGGGCGTTCGCTGCATGAACCGGCTGGGGCTTTGTGACATCATTTGAAGCAGGAGAAAACAGAGAAAACACAAGTGTGTGTTTCAGTTTGTCCTTCCCAGACCTGTCCTTATCTGCTGCTGTACCTGCAGCTCAGGCTCGTCCTGCTTCTGACCATCCCCAGTAACACGTTGGCTTGGGCCGTTTTATAAAAGGATGTGAAAGGAGTGAGTTTTTAGGGACTTAAGTTTAGTGTTTTTGATATATAAATCTAAATATGACTAAGTGCTAATGCAATGAATTTCAAAAATACAATATATTATGTTACATCAGAAAAATTATAGGTATTGTTTTTACTTTAAATTGAGAGCAGATTTTAAATCACATAGCTTTATTTGTCAAAACGCATAGCTCGTAGTGTTTACAGGTGACTTAATGACAAGAAGTTTTATATAAAAAGTCTAAATAATTATGAATAAGGTAAACACAGAGAATAGAAAGTTTAAATGTTGGCTCATTTGGCAAGAAACAAGTATTGTTCTTTCAAGCTCATTATTATTGTTTTTTTATACAAACTAATGAACAATTGACTCATAAAAAAATTAACAAATCCTTTAATAAAAGTGATCTTTTTGTTGTTCTCGGGTTTCATCTAAATTACTTTAAAATGGTTAATTTCCAGACTGGCACCTCGGTACCTTCACTTTTAGATTTACTTTTAGCTAGTCACTGTATTTTTAGGGATTTATTAATACTTACAAGGTTTTGTGTTTCAGGGCTGTGAGAAAACTCACGTGTGAGGTCACTGCAGTTTTTAGAAAAGGAATTCCTAACAAGACGTGTCTCTTCAGCTTTTCAAGAATCAAACCACATGCGCACACACGCACACACACACAAGTTTGCACAGCTATCCATTTGGGGACATTCCATTGACTTCCATTACATTTCTACAGCCTAACCCTGACCACAAACCCTAAGGCTAACCTCACCTGACCCTAAAACTAACCTAAACTCAATTCACACCTTGGTCCTAAACCCAACCCCCAACCCACCAATGATATTTAAACCAAATGGGGACTCCACTTTTGTCCCCAAATGCACCAGTTGTCCCAAAATGTAGGATTTTTGTCTTAAAATTGCCCCCAAATGTCACCAAAAACACACCCACCCACACACACGCACGCACAAACACGTTTTTATCATTTTTCAGCATCTCCAGGAATGGTCCCAAAGGTTTTATACTGTGTGCCTCTGCACAAAGTCACATACTTTATCTGTTGCTAACATTTCATGTCAGCTTTTCACGTCCTCTCGTTCACGAGCGTGCAGTGTTGGTTTTTCTAACACACCTTCTTCATCTCACCGCAGCTAAACTCGTCGTAGAGACGGACACGTTTGGGAGCCGAGTGCGCATCAAGGGAGCCGAGACGGGCCTCTACATCTGCATGAATAAGAGGGGGAAGCTCATTGGCAAGGTGAGGACAAAATCTAATCAGGCAGCCGAAGCCCGACGCAAACAGCAGGCTAACTTATTAGCTCGGGTCAAAATGTCAACGGCTGCAGCAGGACAGCACACGGAGGGACCAGGATTAGGTGTTTGTCCTGCAGACTAGAAAAAGCTCAGGGTCAGACAGATGAGAACCAAAGTTGACTTAAGTCTAAAATCTTTAAATTTCAAAGTTAAAATCTTCAAATCCAAAAAACAAGAGATACAGCCCAGAGTCTCAGTTACATTTTCTATATTAGCATTTAAACAATTTGTTTACTTTCACATTTAAAACTGTATTTTCTCAAGATGGTCTGTGTGTTTTTGCTTTAACTGCTTAAGAAAACATTATTTTAGGACCGACAGGCCTTTAACTTTCATGCTTAAAAGCATGACTTGTTACAGTTTTCTTCACGTCATTATTTGAGGTCTCATATGGATTCATGGTGATGTATGACAGTACATGTACAAAATGTTCACTTTTAGGAGTTTTCCTCTGCACCGTTTGTCTCATCAAGTTAAATATAGCAAAACTGTTTAGAACACAGATGTCTCTCAAATTAATGAACATAATATCGCTGTCAGGCAGAAACCCTGTTGCTCCAAAAACACAACTTTACAGGAAAGTTTAAAAAAGAAAATGCATTTTTAAATAAACAGACTCTATGTGGTAACTGTCTTTTTAGACATTTTTTAATTAGTCATCTCTAAAACCACAGACACAACTGAAGGAGGACCAACAGAGTTGATTTATACATTAACACAAAAACAATGCTAAAGTTTTAGCCTGAAATCAATGCAATTTGAAAATGAGGTAATTGTGTTAATTTTGTGCCACACACTGTAGACGTCCTGTGTCATTTCAAATTATAATTCTTTATTAATTCACCTGGAACAAAACCCCTAAAAGTGGATTCAAATGAATTAATCGAATAATAAATCAAATAACAATGAAGTTGGCTAAAAAATAACTAAAATTTTATGAAGTGATATTCAAACAGTACGGTAATCCATTACTGTAACAAAACAATTAATACTCATTTCAATGTGTAAAAGTGTTTTGATCCAGTCTCCAGTGAGTAAACTTTTATTCCTCCAGATTAAAGCTGAAGAAACAAAATTGAGGTGTTTTTAATCTCTTCAGGAATATTTACTTTTTTAGCAGGAATCCGTCGGCAGAATGTTACAGAAACCTCAGGGATGTGATTATATGATGAGTAAATTAAATGTTCAATGCTTTGGTTTTTATTATGAGATTGTTTGGAAGACTTTACTTTTAGACTACAGCCTGGTCCTCAGAGGTCCCGGGCTGGTTGTGTCTTTGTGTTTCAGACATGATGTTAGGCTGTGTTAGCACCCTCCTCTCACTGCGACTGCTAATAAACAGCCACCCCCATCCCCTCCCACTTACCCTCCACCCACCCGAGCACCCCGCCTCGAACACCATCTGCCTGAAGCCACCAGGCCAGTTACAGTCAAACGTGTGTGTGCATTTATGTGTAAAAAGACACAAAAAATTCGAACAAACAGTGTGTGTGTGTGTACACGTTTATTGTTGCTTTATCTGTTTGTTTACTGGTAGTGTAAGGTTATTACACTTTGGACTGATTTGCATTCGCTCACCGGACGCTGCGTTAGTTTTTCATTAGAGATTATCACCTGAAGGTGACACATCACTAAGCTCCTCGTCCACCTGAGGCTGTGCAGTTAAAGCACTGGCTGCCAAAATCAGGGTTGTGAAACACTGACAGCATGTTGTGAGAGATTTAATAAAGAAAAACAATCATCACAAAACAATACAAATTGTTTTGTTAAAGCTATTTGTGTTCTCAATATAACCTCATTTATTTGTCTGCTGCCATAAGTCTGTTTGAAACCAAACAGCTTCATGAACCACTGAACAAACGGTTGAAACTTTCGGTAAACATTCACTGAACATGAATCTACGACTGTGTCTCGTAACGTGATGTAGACCGTGGCTCGGTGGCCGTAGACCGCTCGTCGGCTGCATAAACGGCTGTGAAATGAGACGATCTAATCTACAAAAGATGCATGCGCTGCCTCTTTACCATGGTTATACGTTTTACATTGCATGGCCTTAGTTGTTTTTTTCAAGGTGTACTTCACAATGTTCAGTTTTAATAGAAACATGTTACAAGAAAATTTAAAAAAGCAATAATAATTTGGATTTAGCTCCAGTGTCAGTACTTGTAACTGCATTTTAGTTAACATCTCGTTGGAACAAATGCATCAGCTAAGTTGCTAAACTTACATTTATTGCAGTTCTTCGGTCCGTGATAAATTTCCAAACTCCGTCGTCAAAAACAAACTCTTCTGTAAAATTAAAATACGCTCTGCCGTCTTTGATTTTCTGTTTAATTTGTTGACAGTGCAACGAATCCTTGGATACCATCGGCCGCATAGGATACACAGATGAAAAAAAGGGGCAGATATTATAAGATTTATTCTTCTGCTGCTGCCTTTCATTTTATTAGATTTTATTTTGATTGCATGTTTTTTGTTCTTTGTTATTTTATGTTACAAATGAAATGAATGTATTTCTAAATAAAAAAATAAAAAAGATGCAGCCCACGTTTACTGGGTTTTGTCGGCCACATGAGGTGCCTATGAATTGGGACAGCCTACAGTGCGGGGCAGTGATGTAAGTGGCCGACAAATACAGCCGACGCAGCTGCAAATCATGAATTGAGACACAGCAACATAACTGATAAGCTTTTGGAGCCAGCCTCATTCAAGATGGCCGCCACAACCAACTGAGTTTAGAAAACTATAACTTTGTCAGTTTTACAGATACGGACCTAAGATTTGGTGTGGTAATAGCTGAGAATCCTTCACAAGATGAAATCCAAGTGCTGCTCATTGCACAAGATCTTCGCCTAAAACCTCAAGTCTTGTTTGTCTGTAAACAGAATCTTTTTTGAACCAGTGGATGGGTTTTAATAGAAATTTTCAGAAAGTGATCACTGGACCTGCACCTAATTAGCTTTGGAGTCGACCCAAATTAAGACCACACCACAGCTAATCAACATTACCTGAGACAAAAAATAATTCTAACTCAGTAAATTTGACATATATTTACCTAAAATTTGATGTGGTAGTAGCTGAGCGTCATCTTCAACACATATTGTGAGATTCTGCATGAGACTGTGAATAATGGGATTTTTAATGCTTGAGGAAAACAACTACATGTAATTTCTTGCAAGAAGATGAACTTAGTCTAAAACTTTTGCATAAAATACATCAGATAATGTGAATATGAAATGTTTATGCTTCAATCAGCAGTTGGAGTTATTAATAACCGAAAAGTTTTGCTGTAAAGTGAACAGAGCAGAAATGAGCTGGCGTTCAAAGCTTTATTGGTTGTCATTTTATTGAATTTAAAGGTGAAGTGGTGATTTCAGTTTGAAAACGTAACAGTAGATTTAACAGACTAAAGACAAAACTTATGGCTGACAACACTGTTGCAGAAAGTGTGTGTTGCAGCTACTCTAGAAACACATGAGCCACCACTGTAGAAGTTTACTGATGAAGGAAATAAGCCCCGCCCCCACCTGTAACACACATCAACCTCTATAGACGGTCACCTGTATACTGACATTCAGATATCTGTAAGTGCCGTAAAAAAAACTGTTATATTCTAATGCAATACAATGTTAGATCTGAGACGTAAAATAAATTTCAACCTGAGTTTTTGAAAAAAATAAATCAGTGAGATTTTCTCTTTATGTCTGTTTACATGCAAAACGGTGCAAAATCTGTAATTTGCGTACAATTGGTACAACTTGACGTGTGTGCTGTAATGACTGATGGCGGTGCTGTATCTGCGTGTCATTGCAGGTGACAACCGCATCAGAAACTTGTTGTATGGGATTTTCTTTTTTCTGTTCACAAATCAGAGTTTTACCATTTGTCTGTGCTCCTGCAGAAAAACGGACAGGGCCGCGACTGCATCTTCACAGAGATTGTCCTGGAAAACAACTACACGGCGCTGAGGAACGCTCGTTACGACGGCTGGTACATGGCCTTCACCCGGCGTGGGCGGCCACGGAAGGGCTCGCGGACACGCCAGCACCAGCGTGAGGTGCATTTCATGAAGAGGTTGCCAAAGGGGCAGCAGCCCACCCACCCAAGCCAACACCGGCCTTTTGACTTCATCCACTACCCTTTCAGCCAAAGGACTAAACGTACACGATACTCGTCGGAGCATTGAGGAAAGGAGAGAAGCAAAGTAAAAAAGATGGAAAGAGGAAGGAGAAACTGAACTATTGACTCAAAAACACCATCTAATAACACACTTCTGTCCAAAAAAGGAAAAACTAGAGACATTTTCATGTTATATCCTTATACTTAGTTTATTTTGTACGTTTTTGAAGTTAAAAAATGTAAGAAATCTATTTTTGTACTCCAAATTTTTAGTACTGATGTGTAGAAAATATTAACAAAATGATAAAAAAAATATATATAAAAAATATATAGATGCACATGACTTAATGCAGGGGTGTCCAAAGTGTGGCCTGGGGGCCATTTGAGGCCCCTGAACTTATTTTGTGTGGCCCATGACTTCAGTTCAATAATTATACTAACTTGTATCCCCGGCGCAGGTGTTTGATGTAGATGGAGACGTTGTATTTTTTTATTAGGACAAAATGATCACAAAGTCAAATCTTCTCCCAATAACAAATATTGGCAACAATATCAATTATTTGTCTTTAAATAACCAGACTCTTAGCTTTAGTGATTTCTACTGAAAAGCTGATTTTGCTGCACTCCAGTCTGCTTTAAATTAATTTATTGAATTTGTCTGAATACAGCAAGCGTTTTCAGCAAAAGAGTGACCTAAATCCTGATTTTATTGATCAGAATTGACTAAATTGGGTTATTTTTTCCCCCAATTGAAACCTAGAAAATTTGCAAAATTTCTTTCAATAAGGGAATCCTGCAAAACACTTTTAAAGTTCATGATCTAGATTAATTTACACATCCATTTCCAGCAATAAATCAGAATACTTAATTTGTTTAATTAAAGTATTTAATGCTAAGTTTATTACTGAGCAGGAAAAGGAAAAATATTTTTGTCCTCAAGTCCTTCTGACTTTATGATTTTGGCCCTTGTGACAAAATGTTTGGACACCCCTGACTTAATGCCTGACTTGTTGTGAACCTCTTTGTAGAGTGCATTATTTTTTTTATTGCACGTCTCTTTTCTTGACAAACGGAGTAATTGTTTGACTCGTACCTGCTGCTCAAGGAGACTTGAAGGGCCCTGACTGAGCGTATTGCCAGAGAAGGCTGTGTTCAGAGACACACACTGTCACACACACTGCACTGCAGAGCCCCGGAGGCAGCAGCAAACCTTTCAGCGACACTGTGGTGCCATCACTGCAGTGTCTAACATTTGTGCCAGAGCTTTAATAGCACCTGACCGAACAATGTGGCAGCTATATTTTATTATAATCACACGTTTTCTGGTCTGACTGTAATGACTTTTTTTTTGTGTACAAAATATATTTGAAGTCTAGGGAATCCCCTCACCCTCTACCCCTTATCTTTTACATTTGTGTTTCATTCATTTTACGTTTTTATAAATATATGAATATATTTTTTATTTGAGGATGTTTGAAATGATTTTAAGGACTGAATATTTATTTAAAATAAGTAATAAATGTACATTAGAAAACCGATATTAAACTCTTGTTTGATACATACTTGCTTTGATGCCCATTAGTAAAACTGAAAATGGACGCAGAAGTTTGCTGTCCCACCTTTTCAACGTTCTCACTCCCTACTCGTCGTCACATATTGATGCTTGTCCAGGTTCCCTCTGCGTCAGGTTTTGATATGTTGGGTAACCCCCTTGCATCAGTTATTGACGGGATGAGAAAAAGGAGGAGGAGCCCATTGTCATATTTTTGAAAAGTGTAAAAAAAAATGCATGACAACTAACCATCCCAAACCCTAAACTTAACTTCTATTAGCCCTAAATATAAAATCCCTGATCTTACAATGTAACTTAACCAGTAACCCTGATCCCTAAACTTAATCACAGACCCCAACCCAAAGACCCTATCCAAGGCGTCAATAACTGGCATGAGATGGGCTCCTGACACGTCCAAACTCTACACAGAGGAAACCTGAACTCGCGTCAATATGTGACAAGTTAACACATTCTCATTCCCGACTCGTCACATATTTACACTTGCCCAGGTTCCCTCTGGCGTCAGTTATTGCTGCACCACATAGAGTCTTTGGGTTGGGGTCCATGGTTAATATTATGGATCAGGATTACTGGTTAATTTTATGTTGTGAGGTCAAGGGTACACTGTAAAAATGAAATGTTGGATTTACTTAATCATGTTATGTTACCTGGTTCCACTTAACTGAGTTGAGTAAATTCAAAGCAATATACCAGTTTTTTAGCCAAAGAACATGAGTATGTTACTTTGAATTTACTCAGCTCAGTTAAGTGGAACCAGGTAACATTTCATGGTTAAGTAAATCCAACATTTCATTTTTAGAGTGTAGGATGTCTAGGATTAATTGAAATTAGGGTTATCTGTCACGCATTTTCTATACTTTTCAAAAAATATGATAACAAGCTCCTCCTCCTTGTTCCCATCTCATCAATAACTGACATAAGAGAGGTACCAAAGGATCAAAACCAGATACAGAGGGAACCTGACCAAGTGTCAATATGTGACGAGTTGAGAGTGAAAATGCATTGGCCTTTTAGGTCTTGTTTGTGCTTTTCTTTGATTAAATTATTTTTTGTTGCCAAATCTTGGTTTTATCAAACCTTTATGCTGTCCTGACAATGGATACATGGATTTACTTTTGCTTGTACTTACTTTCATTTTTTGCCCCTCCAGTGCATCCCTCCACCTCTCCAGGCTCTTTTCCACCTGTTCCCTATCACTATATGTCACAATGTCATCTGCAAACATCATAGTGCACACAGGGACTTATATTTTCCAATCCATTTACTTACTTTGTGCTTTTTCCTTGGAATTAGCATATCATCAAAATGCTTTTAACACAAAATATTGCCTTTGCTGAGAAGGCCAAGATGAAGCAACTTCACACTCATCAGGCTATCCTTCTCAGAACAGAGAAACTGGGTTGTGACACTGGAGCCAGACCAGCATGTGCCTAGTGGCCTGGCCTTTGCTCTTGGCTGAACTCAACCTGTAGGAGCTACAAGATGCTGCCTCCACATGGGAAGAAATTGAGATGAGGGGATTATGGAGAGTGCAAGGCAGGTTGAGGACTTGAGTATACAAATTGTTGGTATAACGACCTGACATCTATGTGCATAAAACTTTGCTGGGGGGGAAGTAAGTCAAGTAGTACCACCAAGGAAAACACAATGTTGGCTTTAGCTCTAGACTACTGGAAAGGAGTTAAACTCTCTTCTTATTTGAAGTTGCCCATGGAGAGAAGCGTGAAACAGGTGTGGAGATAATCATGAACCTTTAGCTGAGCATCTTAGTGCAGGAGCTTTCCTCTGTGAACAACAGAGTTGTCTCTTTGCAGCTTTAAGCTGCAAGAAGGAAATTTGTTTTAATGCACCAAACAGAAGTTCAGAGTCTCTGAAAAGTATCTGGAAGGTTTACATCCCTCCTGGATATTCCATGGTCCTCCTGGGGTTCTTCAAAACCTACATTTGCATTAACCTAGAAAGGTGTGATTGGGAGGAAATGCCTCCCTGATCTGCATCTAATTGGTTTGTTGAACTGTGCATGGCATGGGTTGTCCATGACGAACACCATGAGACTGGCTTAACAAATTTGAGCAGTCTGTGCTAATTAAGGTGCTTTGATCTGTCATGATAAAAAGGTGCTGAAATGCTTGTCTGTTTTTTAAGTCTAACTTTATTGAGATGTGGATTATGACTAAATAAAGAGAGATTTGAGGTACCAGCTGCTTAAATGAGCTTTCTGTCTGGCCTACAGAGGGGTGAGGAGCATCCAGGTGTTTTGGAGTGGGGTCCCCATTTCTCCACATCGTCAGTCTCTGGACTCTTTCATTGCACGAGCTGCTGTATGTTGAGTTTCATTCCCTGGTCCAAATCCATAATATACTCCCTTCATTGATCAAAGCATTTTTGATATCTACCTCATCTTGTTCAGCTCCATGGGGTACAGGCTCCCAGTCAGTCACAGGGTTTGATGCACTTAATGGTATTTTATTACAGATTTACTTGCTTTTTATTTTTGATGTCTTTAAGAAATGAAATTGCATTTTAAAATAAACTCTGGTGCACCAGCACCTTTTAAGTGAGCACAGTTTGGTTTCTGACTTGAAACCTGACCACTGAAAGCTAAAAGGAAGGCGATTTTTCATCTGATCCCAACAGGGATAACAAGGTCATTTAAAGTCACAAAGAACCCCCACCACCAACATGTCTTTAGCAGATAGGCACATGTCAGTGTCAGGGGGCTTTGGTGCTGGGAGGATGATACTGCTCTGTTTGTTTTTAGGATTTAGCTTCTTTCTGTTCCACTGAAACGGTTTCTCTTTACTCTTTTTTTAACAAGCCTTTTAGCCAAACTAAACAATGCAGCATGCATCGACACGTGTGAAATCATTGAGTCTCTTTATTGGCTTCCCATTGATTGTCATTGTAAAGTTAATATGATCATCCTTTGATAGGTTTTGAATTATTATTACAATTATTCTCACTAAACTGTTTTAATTTGTCTAGTAAGTCTAAAAATCACAAGTTCTGTTGAGGAGAGTTTACTCTTACAAACGCCCATAAATGAACCCTTAAATAGGAAAATAAGAGATTACCTTCTGATGCTTTTTTTCTATAATATTGAGTTCAGAAATTGTATTTAGGCGGAATACTGAATATCAAACCAACATACTAAAATGGCTAAAAGTAACCAGTTTGTATTAAAGCAGGATGAATTTTTGTGAAGGAAAATCCCTTTGAGTTAGAAACAACTTTCTTGTTTTAAAGCTGGAGTTCAGGTCAGATCAACCTAAAAGGTCCAACTGTGTCACCTGCTGATTTAAGTGTGTACCTGCATTATACCTTTGCTTTTAAACTTTTATTGATAATATGTAAAAACAAACATCAGTGATGAAAAATACACTTAAAAATAATCTATGAAAAACAATCTAAAAATAATCTATCTAATCTATTACCTAATTTCCCTCTGGGATCAATAAAGTATTTTTGAACTGAATTGAATTGAATTGAAAAATACTGTATATACAGTGGTTTGCAAAAGTATTCATACCCCTTGAACTTTTCCATATTTTGTCACATTACAACCACAAACATAAATATATTTCACTGGAATTTAATGTGAAAGACTAACACAAAGTGGTATACAATTGTGAAGTGGAAGCAAAATTTTACATGAATCAAAACATTTTTTACAAATAAAAAACTGAAAAGTGCGATGTGCAAAATTATTCAGCCCCACTGAGTCAATACTTTGTGGAGCCACCTTTTGCTGCAATTACAGCTGCAAGTCTTTTAGGGTATGTCTCCACCAGCTTTGCACATCTAGTGACTGCAATTCTTGCCCATTCCTCCTTGCAAAACAGCTCAAGCTCAGTCAGATTGGATGGAGAGCGTTTGTGAACAGCAGTTTTGAGATCTTGCCACAAATTCTCAATTGGGTTTAGGTCTGGACTTTGACTGGGCCATTCTAACACATGAATATTCTTTTTTTTAAACCACTCCATTGTAGCTTTGGCTTTATGTTTAGGGTCGTTGTCCTGCTGGAAGGTGAACCTCCGCCCCAGTCTCAAATCTTTTGCTGACTCCAACAGGTTTTCTTCCAAGATTGCCCTGTATTTGGCTCCATCC